GTGGCACGTAGTGTAAAAGTGCTTTGAGTGGTCGGAAGACTAGAAAGGCGCTATACAAGTACCGGTACAGGTCCATTTAGTCAACTATTGGCTTTATCTAACGACTACTAGTCAACTCGGAAATTCTTTAGTCAGAGGCTACCCTACATACATGTTGAAGGGTAGGTTGTAGGTTGTGGTTTGTGTGCAGAATGGTTCAAAAAGCAAGCAGGTCATCCAAACATACTGAGTGATGCTCATGAACTTACATACTCCTTGACATTTTTAGTCTTGACAGCTTTGTAAGAGTAGTATGCAGGATACAGAGTCCCAAACACGAGCCTGCAGGGAGAGAGAACACACAACATGAAGCTTGTTATTTCTGTTACAATCACATGTTAAATAACCACTATAGGTACTCTCAGCCCAAAAGGGAACCTTGAAAAAAATATGCGCACCAATGAATTGGTCAAACACAAGAGCCAACCAAGCACCAGTAACCGCCATTAAAAAAAAAAAAAAAAACTCTGTAAAACATTAGCGGTGTTACGTTAGCTTGTAAAAGTAGCCTTAAAATATTGAACAAAGTGAAGTCTGAAGCGACGTTGCTATACCAACTACCTGCCAGCTTACATCACTTCCTACGTTCCTATTGGCAGTGTGAATGCAAACAGAAAAAAGCCCTTGAAGGTACGTAATTCGCAGGGGAGATCCCCAGAACAGTTCAGACACACAAAACTGAAGGTGTTTTGGATATACTAGCTTCATACACTTTCAGTGTTTAGTTTAGAGTGAAGTCTTTAGTCCAAGTTTAGAACAAGATATATCAGGTCTCTTGAAATTATGTTAGTTGGTTTTCACATACTAGGTGAAACTACTCTGTTTACATTGAAGTACAGTTTACTGTCTGATCTCATAGCCACAACAGTTTCTCCATACACTTGTGAAAGGGATTTTACACTTAAACCAAAATGTCAGTACAGCAAAATGCAAAGTGCAAACTGAATCTTATATACACAATACAAAGATTTTCCAGTTAAAAGCCATCATCTGTTCCTTAAGAACAATCTGGGGACCAGACAATGACTCAATGTTTCCTCTGTAATCTTCTGCAGCAGCAGTAGTTAGGGCTGGTGTGGGGTTTGGTTCCATGTCTGGTCCAGTGCAGGTTTCAACACTGGACCAGACATGGAAGCAACTCTTCCATTTACTAGAAACAGAATGTAAACATATAACACATTGCTGTCAGGGTATCAGTAGATTATAAACAAAGAGTTATGAGACACTGAGGGCTTAGCCCACTACAATTCAGAGTGTATGTTATCCAATCAATGAAACAGTATAGTTGACATTTCTTTCATGAAAATCTCACAACACTGCTTTGGTTTCTATGTGCTCCTCAGGTAGTAAAGTCACAAGAACTGACATACTTTGTTGATTCCAAACTTCTAAAAAAAACATGAAAGTACTCTACCAGGAATTCAATTCTTCCATACCTGACAAGGGCAGCGAATACACCTACAAGTAAAGGACAAAGAATAACACCAACCAGCACAGAACAAGCGCTGAGGAAGAGCCACAGGCTTTAAAGCCAATTTGACACAGTGGTCAAACCGTGTAAGTATGGCCTTTATTGTGAAAGAAGCAGCGGTTAAACGATGACAAAAAAAATGTATCACAGTATCACATCCCCTGCTGAATGACTCATTTCACTATCAGAATGTAGTCTAGAAGAGCCACATGATTAAGTGATTTTATCCTCATTCAAGTTAACGGAGGGCTAAACTGGAAGTTAGCCAACACTGTGGCCCATAGAGCATGCACAGTATGCGTTCATCCAAGTACTTGTTTACAGTGGGAAGCAGCTTTTTTGGCTTCATGCGCCACTAAGTAGCTTTCATAGGAATGAACAGAGCCTGATGTCTTCAGCACAGTGTGTTCTCTACAGATCTGCCTAGTATGCACACAGGATCTGAATCTGTTCAGCTGTAATCAGAGAATTAAAAGAAAAAAAAGAAAAAAAACAATGCAGCAGAGGGGAGAGGTGGGGGATATGACAAAATACTGTGAGACAATATAAATCCTATCTGTTTAATATCTCTAGTTGCGTTAGTGCCTAGCTAGTACACTGTGGCCAATGTTGCAAATCAAAGACCATGAAAGATTAGTGGTCATAATTAGGGATGGGGATCGAA